GGGCAGAAGTGGGACTCGTTAAAGCGGTCCGACTCGAGCGAGCTGCTGGCGGTGTCCCCCGGGCGCCGGCGTCACTGGTCGCCGAACAAGCCGAACGGCGCCGCCCCTGCCTCCGCTCCAAACGCCTTCGGGGCAGTCGGCGCCAACGGCGCGCCCAGGGGCAAGAGGATCTCCAGGGTCGAGTCGCTCCGGAATCTATTCGCGCGTTCCGAGCACAAGTACACGACGTCGGTGCCGGCGAGGGCCGCGCCCAGGGCCCGTCCACCGCCGGCCGCCGCGCCGGCTGCCCCCACGGACAGCGACTGGGTCAAGGAGGAGTGCCAGCGCGGGCTGGCGGACCTGTACGAGCAGGACACGCTGCTGCTGGGCCCCGCCGCCGGCCGCCCCCCGGCGCCCCGAAAGCGCCCCGCGGCCGCCGCCCCTGGGGGCAGTAGCGACCCCGTGGCGCTGCTGGAGCGCCTGCTCGGGGGCGGCTCCGGCAGCGCGTCGGGCGCGGCCGCCCTTGGTTCGGGGTCACTGAGCTACGAGGACCTGCTGACGGCGGTGCGCGCCCTGGCCAGCGAGACGGACCCGGAGCGGCTCCGGTACGCGGCGCTGCTCAGCCTGTGGCAGCTCGACGAGGACCAGGAGGCGGACTCGCCCCCGGAGCAGCACCGGACCAGCGTCGCGGCCCGGATCTCTGGCCGCCTGTCGGTGCTCACGGAGGAGACCCACAGCGTGGGCGGGCGAACGCCGGAGCGCAGCAACAGCGCGGCCTCGGACCGCGGCTCCTCGCCCCACAAGCGGCGGCACAACTCTGTCACCGAGGGTAGCGGCTCCGGCTCCGGGCGCCTGCGGGTGAGCTCGTCCAGCTGCGAGAACCTGCTGCACCACTCGGGGCCGCCCGCCGGGCCGCCCGTCCAGCTGTCCGTCGACGACCTGTGCGTGTTCCTCAACAACCTGCTGCTCGTCAAGTCGGATGAGAGCGGCTACGAGAGCGACTCGACGAGGAACGGGTCCGAGTCCCCTCGCGGCTCCATCCGCTCGAGCTCGGCGGCCGCGGCGTGCCTGGAGGCGTTCCCGCGGCCCCGGCCCGCCGTCAGCCGCAGTGCCTCCAACACCTCCTCCGTCGTCGAGGATGACGTTTTCCTCGAGTCCGGGACCGAGCACCTCCCCGTCGAACGCTCGACCAGCAGCGACTGTGGCGAGGAAGGGGGCGTCTGTAGCAGCAGTGCCTTGTTCGCGCGGAAGAGAGGCATCCGACGGGGTGACGTCAAGACCCTGGGTATTTTGGCCAACAGGAGGACATCCCTGGCGTGCGACAGGTGCAAGACGAGCGTGAGTAGTGAGGCCAGTAGCGTCGACGGGGACGGCTCTTCGATCCATCCGGAGCCTCCAACCTCACGCGCGCAATTGCTCTCTCAGAGGTTTGTTTCAAAACTGCTGCCCCTGATTCCTTTACCCTTTGACTTCTGCCCGTCACCGCAAACGCCATGTTTTCAGATTGAGCCAACCCCGATGCGCTCCCACCCCAGGAGGCCAAGGCGCTCGGAAACCACCGCCACACTCGGCCGCGCGGCCTACCGGGCTACACTCCATGCTGTCGCAGTCGACGCTCTCGCTGACCACCGTGTCTGCCGGCACCGGCGGTAGCGGCGGTGGCGGCGGTGTCGTCGGGGCCTACGGCAAGGAGTTCAAGACGATTAGGATAACGAGAGACGCCCGGGGCGACCTCGGGGTGCTGATCGAGCGCAGAGAGCCGGGCCCGGCCAGCTACATCGTGTCCGGTATCGAGACCGGCAGCGCCGCTTACATGTAAGTGAAAACACGAGAGCCATGAAACACGATGAAACTTTCAAGAAATGAAGGGCGGTCCAGGGCCCCTTCCTTTGTTTTGCGTATACTGTACCGCATAGCGGTCGTGCGGGCGGGCTTGCCTACCGTCGCTCACCACGGCGCCTTATGGCCCCGTGTGAGCATGCAACCCGCCCGCACGCCTGCATGCGGTACTGTAGAAGCAAAATAAAGGAGGGGGCCTGTGGACCACCCTGTATGTCAAAACGCTTCTTCAATCTTTTAATTTATACGGCATAAAACTTAGTCCCTTCATCTCTAATAAAGTCAATAACCCCTCATTTATCGGACCTCGCAGTGACGGCAGGCTGCGGGTCGGAGACGAGCTCATCAAGGTGAGCGGCCGCCGCATGCGGGGCCTGACGCTGCAGGAGGCGCGGTCTGCGCTGCGCTCCTCGCCGCAGCAGGTGGAGGTGGTCATCGCCAGGGTGCCGGGGGCAGCCGAGCCCGCGGAGCGCGCGCCCACCCCCACCCAGGGCCCGGGCCGCGCCGAGGAGCTCGAGCCCGCGAGCGGACCAGCCCTTGCCGCGGCCGGCCCCGCCGAGGCGGCCAAAGTCACCGGGATGAGGAAGTTCTCCTACCGCACAGAGCAGGTATGCGTCGCCAGTAATTCGTTGATAATTTCCTCTTCATTTTGATGAATACATTTTTGCCACATGTTGCCCCCTACTGACGACAATCTCCGTCTGGCAGGTGACCCCGCGGCGGAAAGTCAACTCCAGCAGCAGTAGCGGCAGCCCCGCCACGTCCTCGAGCGGGGCCTCCTCCTCGTCCTCCAGCGGGACGTCCTCGTCCGGCCACGCGCCCCTCCCCCTGCCCCGCCACGGGGGCCGCAGGGGCTCGGCGGCTTTCGGAGCTCTCGGCACCCTCCCCCGCAGGCCCAAGTCGCTGTCCATGAGTCTGTTCACCGTCATCTTCCAGAAAGGCACAGGCCACAAGTCTCTCGGCTTTAGCATAGTCGGCGGCCAGGACTCCCCCAAGGGCAGCATGGGCATCTTCGTCAAGACCATTTTCGAGACGGGCCAGGCGGCAGAGGAGGGCACGCTTAGAGAGGGTAGGTAGTTAGGTAGCGCAGTTTTTGACTAGAGAGCATTCTGGCGAAGGCGTTCTAGTGTAGTGTTTCAAACAAATTCTGTTTAGTGGACAAAGAAACAAAGAAAGTTTTTTAAAAGTCCAGTTACTCATATTTTGTAAAAACATTTCAGGTGACGAGATTCTCGCTGTAAATGGAACACCACTTCAAGGTCTCGCACACTCAGAAGCAATCTCTGTATTTAAGGACATCAAAATTGGCTCTGTTCTCCTTCACGTTGGAAGAAGAGATCAGCTTCATAAAAGGTTTGATTTCTCCATGAATAAGAATTAATTTCATAAGCAAGATCTTTTTTGACTCTGTTTGCTAATTGTCATGTTTCTGTTATTGCAGGAGTAGCAAGTCAAAGTCATGTGATGGATTGGATAAATTTGATTAAGCCTGAAGTGCACATTTAGATATGCATTTCGTCTGCAAACATGACTAAAATCGTTTGCCTGCTTGTGAGCATTTCTTGCCAGAGAAATAGGATTATGATCAGAAGACCTATGGTGGCAATATTGTAAAAGCATTCACATTTATAGGCTACATTTCAAGTGTAAGGCTCAGCCTAACTTGCAACCTGCATCGGTAGATTGATATCTATGGCAGTCCTTGGTGCAGGAAACTATGACTGTGATAACAAATAAAGAAATATAACTTTTTCAGTTATAAATATACCCTAACTAAAAAACTGTTTGTTAGTATATAGGGTAAGATACTTAGTCTCTTCAGTTCAAAAATCACTGTGCAATACAAAAAACAAAACATAAAAAAAACAACCTGAAGATTGTCTTCTTTGCCTATATTTATTCTGAAATAATCTGTCAGTTTGTAATTTAACAAACCAATACTGTATTCTAGCACAATATTTTAAGGGGTTTTAGCAGCATTGTTAAACCATACTCATTTTCTTGTAAATAAATTTGTTTTAAAAGATTTTGAATTGTAAACTTTGTTGCCAAAGGAGCTAGAACATTTCAATATGGGGATGACAACACTCGGAGGGATGATTCTGATGCGGCAGACAGCAGACAAATCACTCTGAACGCCAAAATTTGGTCCTGTTTTGGATACTGCCAATTTTCGGCCTCTTCAATCTCAATTTAGAATAAGAAGGCCATAGCTTGTGAGACCAGATTTTGGCAAGAAAGGAGGTCAAAACAAAAATTTGCAGTCCCCGAAAGAGAGCCAAAATTTTGGCAACCTTGGCTAACACGGCATCTAGAGTGATTCAACTATATAAACGAGATTAATACTAATCCATTTGTTAGAATGAGAGTTACATTCCCAGAGCAAATTTCGATAAACCCGGGGTGCGATAGGTGGCTCCAGTTTAATATGAACAAGCAGTCGTAGGCCTTCGTTGGAGTTGAAGAGACTGACTGCCTGCACCCCCGTACACGCGAGAACCATGCGGTTGCCGCCGTAGAGGTAGGCCACCCATCGTGCACCCGCCTCCGGCCTCTAGCCTGACCGCTAGGCGCTAGGCGCGCATGAAGTGAGTTACAAGAATTAAAAACTGATTCAAAACAAAACCATTTGTGGAAAGAAAGTTAGTTTATTGTTTTTCACCCTTCGATCAAAAGACCGTTACTCTCATAGCAAAATTTGGTGGTCTCCAACTTTAACCAAACTTGGTTTGCAGCTTCCTCATTGATCATTGACCATATAACATTTTCTAATATTTGTAGGAAGGTAGAAAGGTCATATTTGACTCTTTTCAAAATTAGTTTTTTAGTATAAGGACAGAGCCCAGATTTCGAGTGAAAACTTTGTATTTTCTATATAAAAAAATAAAATCGGATATCCGAAATCTGAGATCAGTCTGGAAAAGTAGAGTTAATGTACGGCACAAAAGGCGCGGGATAAATTAGTTATTTGGTTCAGGGTGTCCGTGAACCTGGCTAGAAAGACCAGAGTCGAACAGTTTCCACGGCTTTGCAAACCACCACCACGTCGTCGGATCTCCACGAAGAAGCATGCGGTGCAGCCGGATTGTCTGGCCTATTTTGCTCCGACCTAGTGTTTTTTTCCAAAATCCCAAAAAGTGCTGTCCGACATAGGTTTTGTCCGACGTAATTTTCTCCGACCTCGTCGAAATGCTGAAATTTTGGAAGAATTAGATTCAAAGAGGAACAGGGTTCAAAAATAAAAAATACGAATGGGGGAGTACTTTTCTCATCCCACCGCAGAGTTCTAACGGGGATCAGCCGAACCACAGTTGGTCAGAACATACTCCTGAAGGCAAAACTCAAAACTCCTGCACCTGGTGACTAACTTACACCGCGCACGTTTGTGGTTATACTGTTCCGCACATGAATGCGTGCGGGAGTGTTTGCCTATCCTCGCTGCTGCCCACGTCTCCTTATGACTCCGTATGTAGGCAACTCGCCCGCACTCGTGCTTGCGGTACAGTATAACTACGAAAGTTCGCGGGGTGAGTCAGCCGCTTGTT